TACTTATTATTGTTCTGTGGTACAGTATACACTTATACAGTGTTTTAAAGGGCAGTATACAACTTACAGTGTGATTGTCTCTTTCAGAGAAATTTCACAAGAGTAAAAGGCATGTTCTTTTTACAATAAGTGCTACACAATAAAATGTAGTTACAGATTTAAATTTCAGAAACACAAATCATGTAATAGATTTGTCAGCAGACCGTCTTCAGTCCTCGTAGTTATTAAGTCTGGTAGAACTTCCCCGACGTTGTCCCCCCGTACCAATAAAACCGGGAAAACAACGTCGGGGGGGCCCTTCCGGACAAAATATACACTCCAGCGACGAAATTCTTGAGTCTTCTTCTTCTTGTAGTTCCGAACTTGTTCAAACATTACCTTAAAAGTATCTAAAGCCCGGTCTGTGAGCACGTAATCATTGGACAAAATTCTACGTGCTCGCAGACCAGACTATATTACACTTATTGTAGGTACATAATAAAGAAACATTTTCAATATCATAGTTTCAAAGTCCAAGTCAAAAATGTCTTTATTTCTATGGTCTATTAAATAGTTTACAAACGTTTCAAATCCTGTTTTTCTACTCCAGAATTGCATTCGATCCATAGGTATTAAACCTGGACTTTTAACATTTAAGGGGTTGGTAAAAGAAAGAAATAACACACAATAACTTATTATTATCGATTTTCTCTGAACTTTAAGACAAGTGATGGTAATAAAGTTGATAAATGTTACAGTCCGAATAGTTTTCTAGAGTAGAGGAAACATGTTTACATGAAAAAATAGACACAAATCAACACGGCAACATATCAATTGACATTTATTTTTTGGTAAAGCCTGGTCCGTGAGCACGTAGAATTTTGTCCAATGACCCCAAGCTACCCATCCTTATTGCTCGCGCGTAATTATATTGCTGTCGCGACTGTGCGACGGGCGCCTACAGTGAGTGTGCGAGCGCGACAGCAACATAATTACGCGCGAGCGATAAGGATGGGTAGCTTGGGGTCATTGGACAAAATTCTACGTGCTCACGGACCAGGCTTTAGAAACAAATATATCTTCTGGTGGTGGGCAGCCAGCACAAGCATCCCCACTGTTGGCACCCGGGCAATAACCTTCAACCACGGGGACATCAACGGGGGGTAGCCTGGACTGACGTCTTCTTCATTCTTGCTGTTCTTATTCATATTAATCTTCTTACAGTGGTTTAAATTACAGTAAATGGAATCGAGAACATATCACAAACATAGAAATATTAAAGAGGAATTTGCTTAGTACCCACTGGTCCTGCTGTGTCTATGAATAGGTAAGTGCAGAACGAAAAGGTGCTTCCTTTTGTTCAAGAATGTTCAAGAACATAACCAGTTAAAATGACATTGGATAAAAGGTGGAGCAAAAAAATACTCAAGTGTAGACCACGCCTCGAAGTGCAAGACACCCCGTGTTCGACGGATCAAAGACTTTAGAACGATATTGCTGGTATTGGCTGGCTAAAAAGCAGGAAACAGGCCTCCTATCTAGGGCACCCGCTAAAACTCAAGCGGGTGACCTCGTGTCTGTAAAAATAGTGTGACACTGTGCTAAGTCTGACGCGCATGCGTGTGATGTATCGACACACGCGGCGGGAGGCGGGCACCCGTACAAGTTTTAGGATACGCTAATGGGTAGGATAACGATGTAAACTCACTCGAGGGCCAAAGTCCGGGAGAGCCGTATGAGCAGCATCTTGGCCTGCTGGTGCTCGGTGTAGACAGCTCGCAAGTCTTGCAGCGACAGCTTGACGCCGCGCCGCGCCATTCATTCGCAGTCTTTGAGAAGTTGGAGCTTACATTCAGCTGTGGACTATGTTTTTAATGTGATAATGTGTACTCACTCGAGGGCCAAAGTCCGGGAGAGCCGTATGAGCAGCATCTTGGCCTGCGGGTGCTCGGGATAACTTACCATCTTCATTAGCAGCATGCAAGTGTGAAGCGTCGAAAGCTTCTCAATGAACGCCAGCGTGACGCCTTCCACATTGATATCATATATCAGCGTATCCAGCGTCAGTAGGTGGAACATGATAAGGTCTAGGCCTTCAACGCCGCCACCGACTGTGGCTAAGGTGACCAGGTGTAAAGCGTAAGAAGCAAGACCACTACGTTCTTCGATCTCACGCGCTCGCTTGTTGTACCAGTCCGCGATATCGTGGTCTGTGACCGTGGTCAGAGCAGCCGGGGCTTCGCTCTCGGGCGTCGTGTCTTCTGACCAGTTCGAACTCCATATGGATCTATTTGAAAACAAATCGTGTTATTAATAATTAACTTTTTAAAAAAATAAAACCGACTTCAAATGCGTGAACACAAAAAAAAACTAAAAATTGCGTATAAAAAAGTTCATCCCCAATTTTCCACCCTTGGGGGTGAAATATTTTCTTCAAATTCGCATGAAACCACCCTTTTGATAATACCTATTCAACAAAAAAATAATCGTTCAAATTTATTTATAATCGGCGGAGATATTGCGTATAAAAAAGTTCATCCCCAATTTTCCACCCTTGGGGGTTGTTTTTTCTATTATTAAATTTAAATGGGACCACCCTTGAGGTATTACCTATACGCCGAAAAAAGATTTGTTCAAATCGGTTCATAATTGGCGGAGTTATCGCGTAACAAACATAGAAAAAAAAAAAAACATACGGGTCGAATTGAGAACCTCCTCCGTTTTTTTTTAAGTCGGTTGAAAACTAGAAAGAGTAACTAGTCTGAAAAAGGCCGCTTAAATTGTGAAAATAATTTTTTTGGCTTTAGTTATTGACAGTTTTGTGTGGTGTCCAAAAAAGAGTCTCCATGTTCTTATACCATTTTTTGTAAAAAAAAATAGTAAATGAAGAGAAAATCTATACTAATATTATAAATGGGAATGTAACTCTGTCTGTCTGTCTCTCTCTCTTTCACGCCTAAACCTCTGAACCGATTTTGATGAAAGGCATAGAGATAGTTTGAGTCCCGGGAAAGGACATAGGATAGTTTTTATCCCGGTTTTTGAAACAGGGTATTTAGTTTTTCTGTGACAGACAAAATTCCACGCGGGCGAAGCCGCGGGCGGAAAGCTAGTAAACCATATGACAGTTGATTTGATACCTCATAAGCATACAAATGTAGACGGTCTAAAAAAGTTACGAAACTTCAACTGCTAAAAACTGAGAAAAAAAATATGGTTAAAAAAATAGTAACCTGAAGATTTCCTTCCTGCACCAATCATGCTCATACTCCGTTGCTTTAACCTTGATAGGAGACTTCTTGTCGAACCAATGTTTGAACGGGTGCTTCGTCGGCAACAGATGTTGGTACTCCAACGGATTGATTGTCTCTGGCAAGTGCTCCAGTACGGTCAGCTGCATAGCCACAGATTTGATGTTTGGCCATAGACAAGTGAGCGCGTCTATGCGGCCTTCTTTGGCGATCTCTATGGAACTGTGCACGAGGCTATGGCTGCGAAGGCGGTCGTACTCGTCTTTAGCGTATGTTGACTTCTCGCTCTTTAAAATCGACTGAAACATTTTTTTTATTATAAATTCCGACTTCTAACCAAGCATTCTTGATACTTTACTTGATATTAAGTATGATGCATACCTCGTATAGCTTCAGGCGTTCTTTATAAAAGAGCATGACGTGGCGACACCTCAGCAACTCACTGGTATAAGAATTAAGATCTTCCAGACGTATATCATCGGGGTCCTTCAGATCATCTTCATCACGATCTTTGTTGATCTCTATAAATACATAAAAAATATTATAGGTAAAGAAGATACGTCATGTCAATTACATAGGCCAGAAATAAGCAGGGAAATGAACGAAGACTTACCATGTAAGATATGTTCATTGGTTAACTCCAAACCAAACTGTAAGAGTTCTTTAGCTGCAGGTAGCGTTTCTGGCAAACGGTCTACACACTGATGGACGGCCCAAATCTTCTTTGATACTTTACTCTAAAAGAATATAGCAACTAATATAGCATAACATTCGATTTCTTCAATTTAACTCTAATACTAATCTAATGATCAATGTAGAAGATAAGTGGCAACGATTAACTACAATAATCAGCTTCTCATTTGAAAATAAATAGTAATTAAATCTGTCTCACTATATCTACCAAATATTTATATGTAATTGTAACTTTACCAGATATTTTTGTATGGCATCAGTTGAGACTGGATTCTTCCTCCACTGTTGTTGGTAAACCAGGTCGCTGTCCAACTTGAAAGTTTCGGCTAATGTTAGCGCTTCGCTGTAGCTACCGCTTTCGATCTAAAATCATGATTAATTGGTCAGGAAAAAAGATTTAAACCTAAAAATAACCTAACTGGAATTATGACAGAGTTAAGCCAACCGCACCAAAATAATTTTACGGCCAGCTGGCAGTCTGAACGCACAGTGTGTTGCCGCTCTTATTCAATCGATTCGTAAGTTCGCGCAGGCGCGCACAACGACGCAACCTACACCCAGCTCCGATCTCAGAACTCAAAGGTCAATAATCTCGATACGTTTTGGTTCATTGTACCTATCTATTGCCATAAGCAAATTGTACACTGTTATTTGCAAAAAAATTGCTCTTTAATACCTTTAATGGACAGTTGACATCAAAACTGCAGAATATGCCACTGTGATTAGTGGCTTTATGTTCCGTTGGATAGACGTAGTTGTGATCACATTTATTTACTTTTTGGTAAAATGTATGTGACTTTATGACACACATTTTAAATTAATCTATAGTTTATAGGTCATTATCCACAATTATTTGTGACATTAAGATTTTTGAACATTTTCAAACACTCGCCTTCCTCGAAAACAACTCAGTGGGCGTGGTGCTCTTGACGCCCAGCAAGCGATAGATCCGTGACACGACCGTGATGCGGCGCGGCTTCGGCTGGAAAGTCTCCATATCCGTGATAGCGTATAACACGGACTTGAGCAGCTCCTTGCCTAGCATGTATACATGGAGCCGTCGATGGACATGGCGCTATGATACAAATATGATATCCATAATTTTCACTCACCTTCCTCGAAAACAACTCAGTGGGCGTGGTGCTCTTGACGCCCAGCAGGCGGTAGATCCGTGACACGACCGTGATGCGGCGCGGCTTGGGCTGGAAAGTCTCCATATCCGTGATCGCGTATAACACGGACTTAAGCAGCTCCTTGCCCAGTTCGTACATCGAGTCGTCAATGGCTTCTTCTATTTTTACCATTTCCATCTAAAAAAGTAATTTTATGAAGTGTGGACATCCATTCTCAGTTGGACAAACGAAAGTTTTTTATTATTTTATTTATTTACTTACACTTTCGTCACTCCTAGACTTCTTAGCCGGCAGCACGTTTGATTCGCATTCTAGAGCCATGAACGCTCCATCGTGTGCGCAAGTAACCTGCAAAAATAAAAACTAAGCTATCACGCGAGACCAATATTACAGGTGGTATTTATTCTACTTGTAACAATGACAAACTATAGATACTATCAGTTGCAACTTGCAATCATCATATGGTCATTTAGTCTTCGCTGAAGAAGGAAAAAGACCCTCTCTTATTTTCCAGAGGCAAAAGGGAGGCAAATACAATCGCATAACTACCTATTTAGTTGCAAATACTATGAGGCTATGAACGTGCAGTTATCAGAATTACTCGGTAATGGATGTCATCCCAAAAATTCTGTAGAGGCCTTTACTAAATCGATTCGTAAGTTCGCGCATGCATACACAACGACTGTACCCCAACACCACTAAATATGCACTTTAATTAAAAAGTGAGATGGAAAGCACCTAATATTTGGAAGTCTCTTTACGAGTAGCACCTTATAATTATCTAATGTCAATGTAAAGACTCAACCTTACCTGCGGAGTCCCTTGGAAGAACTCTGGTTTCTTCCCCAGCAAGTTGACCATGTTTTCAATATTGCACACCGTGACGGCACCGCTGAACCGCGATAATATTATTTCCTGTGAAAAGAAATTTAGGTTCTAATCGCATCCCATTTATTTACCTATTCCTATTACCGAAATACAATGGTTACACACGAATCATTTACAAATCGGTAAGTGGTTGGTGAAAAAAAAAACTCAGAATCTTCGTTTCTAGGGGTTAGGAGACACAAATGAATATACAATTAAAACTTTCTTTATATTTATTTCTACGTATTAAACTTTCGACCATCAGTCACCTATGTAGCTAAGATTGGTGAAGAAGGCCAACAACCGTTCTCTGATGGCGCTATAACATTGAAGCAGCCGCCGTCATGTATAGACGTCGCATTGTCGCCATCAGCGCCGAGAAAGTGCAGCAGCCTAAGTAGCAGAAGCCGCTACATTGTTTCAGCGACGTCATCACCCACTCACTCGTCGCTCCACCAGTTGACATCGGCGGCCAAGAACGGTGTGGCTTACACTTCGCGTGTTAGGCGTGTGCCGGTGCAATAGCTTGAGCAGCGGCAGCCGCCATGTTGCCGCAGTGACGTCACACTCACCTCGTTGCTCCACCAGTTGACGTCAGCGGCCAGGAAGGTGGCGGCGTCGCACTTGGCTTGCTTGTCGCTCAGGAGCGGGCTGCGCAAGTCGTGTTGTGGTTGTGACGCAAGCGGGTGCCGGTGCAATAACTTCAGCAGCGACAGCCGCCATATTGCCGCAGTGACGTCACACTCACCTCGTTGCTCCACCAGTTGACGTCAGCAGCCAGGAAGGTCGCAGCGTCGCACTTGGCTTGCTTGTCGCTCACGAGCGGGCTGCGCAGGTCGTGCTGCGGCTACGACGCGAGCGTGTGGTGCCGCCATGTTGCCGCAGTGACGTCACACTCACCTCGTTGCTCCACCAGTTGACGTCAGCAGCCAGGAAGGTCGCAGCGTCGCACTTGGCTTGCTTGTCGCTCACGAGCGGGCTGCGCAGGTCGTGCTGCGGCTGAGACGCGAGCGGGTGCCGGTGCAATAGCTTGAGCAGCGGCAGCCGAAATATTGTTGCAGTGACGTCACACTCACCTCGTTGCTCCACCAGTTGACGTCAGCCGCCAGGAAGGTCGCGGCGTCGCACTTGGCTTGCTTGTCGCTCACGAGCGGGCTGCGCAAGTCGTGTTGTGGTTGTGACGCAAGCGGGTATCGGTGCAATAACTTCAGCAGCGACAGCCGCCATGTTGCCGCAGTGACGTCACACTCACCTCATTGCTCCACCAGTTGACGTCAGCGGCCAGGAAGGTCGCAGCGTCGCACTTGGCTTGCTGGTCGCTCAGGAGCGGGCTGCGCATATCGTGCTGCGGTTGTGACGCAAGCGGATGACGGTGCAATAGCTTGAGCAGCGGCAGCCGCCATATTGACACGTCACCGTTGCAGTGCAGGCAGACGAGGCGGCTGGCGTCGGGCGACAGCACCATTTGGACTATGAAGGCCTGGAAAAAAGGACACAGTACTATAACAAAATTATAGAGAAAAGAGAAGTAAACGAGGTCGTGCAGCGAACTGTATCCGCCTGTACCACCGATTTGGACCCCTAGAAGTGACTACTACAGCACTGCCAAAAGCGAAACGATAGAGAAGTGTCGCTATAAGAATCTAAATGTAAAGCCTTTATCAACCTCAAACAAAAACATTGTTGTATCCCAGCAGTTGAAAGTAAAATGGCCTGTTCCTTTGTGGTTGAGGATTCTGTTGAAGCTCGCTTCCGCCCACGGTCTGATCATCACTTTCCATCAGATAAGATGCAGGCCAAGCTTCATAGTTATGGACAAAAAATTGTTCAATACCATCGAGCGGACGTCAAAGAAAGGTAGCAGGTAGC